GTAACAGGGCAGGGTGGCAGCAGGCAGGGTGGCAGCAGGCAGGGTGGCAGCAGGGCAGGGTGGTAGCGGGGCAGAGTGTGCAGAGTGGAGTGGGCGCAGCAGGCGGTGGGTAACAGGGCAGGGTGGGAAGCAGGGCAGGGTGGCAGCATGCAGGGTGGCAGCAGGCAGGGTGGGAGCGGGGCAGGGTGGCAGCAGGGCAGGGTGGGCAGAGTGGAGGGTGGGCAGCAGGCAGGGTGGCAGCAGGCAGGGTGGCAGAAGGCAGGGTGGCAGCAGGGCAGGGTGGCAGCGGGGCAGAGTGTGCAGAGTGGAGGGTGGGCAGCAGGCAGGGTGGCAGCAGGCAGGGTGGGCAGAGTGGAGCGTGGGCAGCAGGCAGGGTGGTAGTGGGGCAGAGTGGAGGGTGGGCAGCAGGGCAGGGTGGCAGCAGGGCAGGGGATGCCTGCGGGAGGCGTGTTCCAGAATCCAGGGCAAAGCAGGGGCACCTAGAGCACCTAGAGCTTCAGCAGGAGCCGGAGCCTGCAGCAGGGCAGCAGGTGCACGTGTGGGAGACGCTCCGCAGAGGAGAGCCGGGCCCAGACGCGAGGGCGTGGGAACCAGGGGACAGAAGGAACAGGGGCAGTTGGAGGGTGGCTGGAGGCTGGGCAGGAGGCCGACGTGGGTAGGAGACTGAGGCAGGCGGTGGACTATGGCTGCGCAGACGGGTGGGCAAGCKGCGGGGAGGGCGGGACTGAGGGCCTGGGCCCGGTGCTGGCCCAGGCTGGGGTGACGTCAGCTGGGCAAGGGCCGAGGGCTATGCAGGAGGCAGGACTCCTCGGTGCCACCCCCCCCCCGCCCACAGCCACCTGAGCAGGGGTGGCATGATCACTGGCACTGGGGCCACAGGACAGCAGAGCRGGGACCCCTTGCCCACTGCCCGCCTGACCATGCTGGGCCACCTCTTCAGCCCTGACGATCAGCTGGCCAGCTGCCCTCTAACACAGGACCCCAACATGGTGGCCCTGGGGATCTTGACATTCTGTCCAAAGGACAGAGGCACCTGGTGCCCTGCAGCCCGAGGCTCCAGCAGCCTGAGGCCYGCAGCCAGAGGCTCTGGCCTCCTCTGCGTCCAGCTTGCCTCCCTCACCACAGGGGAGCTGCCTGGGACCCTGGAGGCCTCCAGCCCTCCCGCCACCCACAACCCCGAGGGAGTTCCTGCTGTCGTTCCTTAGATTCAGGCCCACGACCTCTCCCTGTCCTGGCTGGACATGCAGGAATAGCCCCAGGAACAGCCAGCTCCAGACGCYTCAGGTAGCAGCCTCTGCCCAAACCCCCGGGGCTTCTCCTCAGCCTCCCACGGGCTGTGCAGGAGTCRGCAGGCCTGGGCTCTGGTGGCCTTTGCAGGCCCTGACGTGAACAGTCATGTGCCACAGGCAGCTACTGACCTGCATGCTTTCCTTTCACATTCAGGAAGTGGGCCAGCCACCTGCTGGACCCCAACATCTGGCCTCAGGTGGCCCCCAGCTCCTGGGCACCGCTCATGCTGGCTGCACTGCTGGGTTTGGGGTGCTGGGAAAGACACAAAGCACGAGTTAGCAGGTCAGAGGGGCCACGCCGAGTGTCAGGGGGACCATGTCGAGCGGCAGGGGCCACGCTGAGTGTCGGGGGCCACGCGGGGCGTCAGGGCCACGCGGAGCGTCGGCTCACTGGTGCTTTAACAYGCAAAGCAGCTTCCAGGGGAAGGGACCAGATGCCCCTGGTCGTGTGGAGTAGCTGTGTGGACGCTCCAAGGGGATCGCAGACATAGGCAGACCACGCAGACCTGCCCCCTTTCTCTCAGGCCAGTGATGCAGGAGGGTCACTCCCTGGTGGCCTTTGCCGCTGCCGAGCACTCTGCTAATGCCTTTTGCTTCCTACCGGGCGGGAGGAGGGAGGCTCGCTGCTCCTTGGAGCCCGTGGTTTCAGCTGCAGAGGTCCCCGCGGTGGGTGGACGTGGAAAGCCTCCTCATTGCCTCTAGCAGCSATCTCACTGCTCCCGGCTCTGCAGGTTTGGATAGATGCTGCCACCCAGGTGTGCTTCTCCCTGGGTGTTGGGTTCGGGGTGCTCATCGCCTTCTCCAGCTACAACAAGTTCACCAACAATTGCTACAGGTAAGTCCTGAGCTGCAGCGGCCCTGAGAGGTCTGTGAGAGCTGGTCGGCATCACTGCTGGCGGGTGGCCGGGAGAGGGACGCTGACTTGGAAGCTAAACCCTGCTTGCACAACCTCTGACCACACAGCTTTTTAAATGKAAAATAAGGTGGGCACTCAGTGAGATCTTAATTCTCACTTCGAGGAAGGTATTGAAACCCATGGGTTTGGGGTCTTGGTCCATAGGAATGCGTGCCCCCTCCTGGGGAGGACCTTCCTGGAGGGGACACGGCAGCACGGCCAGCCCTCTCCTCCTGCCACCTCCTCCCCAGGCCAGCGCAGCAGTCTCTGTCCCCTTGCTCAGGGTCCAACCTCACCAAGACGCCTGCCTCAAGGAGCCACCTCAGTGTGCCCCTCAGGCCTGCACTGAGGGAGCCTGGACCCCAGGATGGCATGCCAGACCCTGAGGAGACTAGGCTGGTCCACCAGCTCAGGAGGGCGCGGGCCACCCGCAGCCTCATGCCAAACCCAAATCCTCCCAAAGCAAACAGAATCGAGTCTGAGTCCTGCTTCCTCCCACCCTCAGAGCCTGGTTCACTTCTTTCACATCATGAGGATTAAAYTGCACTGAAGTTCAGACTGAGTGCAGCGAAACGGCCAGTCAGACCATGCAGGAGGCCCCCAGCTAGCCCCAGCCCAGAGTCCACCCCGTGTCAACTGGGTCCAGGCACTCTGCGGGAGAAGTGCAGTCCTCCGCGGCAGCTGGCCACATGGACCCAGGAGGAGAGTGCTGGCCGCCTGAGGGCTCTGGCCCCTCCTGGTTCTCCCTGGCTTGCCTCTGGCCTCCAGTGAGGACCTCAGACTGGCAGCACCAGCGTCCCCATGTGTGCCTGCACACACAGCCGGCCACTGGGCCACCGCTCAGGATCTGCATTTCAGTGATGTCACAGGGTGTGCACACCTCTGGTCCTAGAAGCCCTGCTTGGCAGCCCCCTGGCAAGGGGGGCAGTCAGCACCCTGGGCCAGCAGAATACAGGCTGTTTCACCCACCCTGAGGCAGGAGGTCCAGGGTGGCCCAGATCGGGCCCTGCCGGGCTGCAGCAGGGCTGCCGAGCTCACCTGGAGAAGCAGCCCCTCCAGAGCCCCCTGCCCCCCCAGACACAGGAAATGGCTGCACCAACGGCCTGTCTTGTCCTTGCAGAGACGCCATCGTCACCACCTCCATCAACTCTCTGACCAGCTTCTCCTCCGGCTTCGTCGTCTTCTCCTTCCTGGGATACATGGCACAGAAGCACAATGTGCCCATTGGGGATGTGGCCAAGGACGGTGAGCCCAGCCCTGCCCCACCTTCCCTGCTCCCCAAGATGAAAAGGGAACAGACGGGGCCTGAGCCTCCGTCCATGAGTGTCTGGCTTGAACAAGGGCCCACCTTACAGTGCCCGCCCCACACAGCAGCCTGCTGTCAGAAGCAGCGTCAG